GGTACAGAGGCCACCCAGGATCGCTTCTCCCATGCATTAGGAGGCTTCCTGTCTCGCCAACCCGAGGAGGCATTTGCTCTCTTAAGCCTTCTCGTCTTCCCTCTCTCGCCCTTGTGTCATCTCCCCCTGAGAAACCCTGCTCAGAGAATCTGTGCTGGGGGTGGAGCCTGGGCCCTGGCATCCCCTCCTCGCTGAGCTGGGACATGACACCTCCAAGCCCTCCTTCACAGGCCAGGGTGGGGTCTCTGTCGCCCTTCCCAAACCATTGTCCGCCTCGGGGTCTGGTAGCCCACCATCCTCAAGAATAAAACCCAGCTCTGCAGCCCGGAAAGGCCAGGCCCTCACACCTCCCCACTCACTCCTGCACCTCCTGCCTCTGAGCCAGCCATGCTGCAGTGCTGGGCCTTCACTGGCCTCCTGCCTGGCACTTGCTGCTCTGTCGGCCTGCAATGCCCTTCATGCTTTTCTGCCTTGGCTCCTTCTCATGGCTCCTCAACTGGTTCCTCTAAAGGCCCAGCCCAGGTGCCCCATCAGGTGACCCTTTGTCACAACACTTACTACCCCATTGTCACTGTTGATGTCTATCTCCCTCTAATGCAGTGGTTCTCAACCTTCCTAATGCTACGACCCTTTAATACAGTTCCTCATGTTGTGGTGACCCCCAATTTCATTGTTACAAATTGAACATAATTAAAGCATAGTGATTAATCACAAAAACAATATGTAATTATATATGTGTTTTCCGATGGTCTTAGGCGACCCCTGTGAAAGGGTCGTTCGACCCCCAAAGGGGTCGCGACCCACAGATTGAGAACCGCTGCTCTAATGGGATCTCCTTGAGGACAGGCCTAGGATCCATGCTGTTCATAGTCACAGCACCTAGCATTGTCCTTGCCACTTGGTCAGCCTCCATGAATATCTAGACTAAGAATTCTATCTAGTGATTTCTGGGTTCTCTGATCACTGTCTTTGAGCTAGTCATTATGTCAATGTATCTCGTCATCTTCATCAGAACCCTGTGAGGTAGGTGCTGTCACTACCATTTTATATATGGGAAAACTAACGTTCAGAAAGGGGGAGTTAATATCCCACCTCCTTTTTTTTTTTTAACTGTAATGTACAATTTATTTTTTATTTTTTAAAATTTAAATTGTTTATTGCTTAATGTATTACATAAGTCTTCTTCCCCCCACCCCCACCCCATTGACCTCTCCCCAGCTGCCCCCAACCCCCAGCACATGCCCTCACTCCCCCAACCCCCATCTGTGTCCATTGGTTATGCTCATGTGCATGCATACAGTCCTTTGATTGATCTCTTACCCCCTCACTCCCCGCCTTCCCTCATAGGTTGGACAGTCTGTCTGATACTTCTATGACTCTGGTTCTATTTTTGTTCATCAGTTTATGTTGTTCATTATATTCCACAAATGAGAGAGATCATGTGATATTTATCTTTCTCTGACTGGCTTATTTCGCTTAGCATAATGCTCTCCAGGTCCATCTATGCTGTTGCAAATGGTAAGAATTCCTTCTTTTTTATAGCAACGTAGTATTCCATTGTGTAGATGTGGCACAGTTTTTTAATCCACTCATCTGCTGATGGGCACTTAGGCTGTTTCCAAATCTTAGCTATTGTAAATTGTGCTGCTGTGAACATAGGGGTGCATATATCTTTTCTGATTGGTGTTTCTGTTTTCTTGGGATATATTCCTAGAAGTGGGATCACTGGGTCAAATGGGAGTTCCATTTTTAGTTTTTTGAGGAAACGCCATACTGTTTTACACAGTGGTTGCACCAGTCTGCATTCCCACCAGCAGTGCAAGAGGGTTCCTTTTCCTCCGCATCCTCGCCAGCACTTGTCATTTGTTGATGATAGCCATTCTGACAGGTGTGAGATGGTACCTCACTGTTGTTCTGATTTGCATCTCTTGGATGATTAGTGACATTGAGCATGTTTTCATATGTCTCTTGGTCTTCTGTATGCCCTCTTTCGAAAAGTGTCTCTTTAGGTCCTTTGCCCATTTTTTTGATTGGACTGTTTATTTTCCTTTTGTTAAGTTGTATGAGTCCCCTATAAATTTTGGAGATTAAACCGTTATCAGAGATAACATTGCCAAATATGTTCTCCCATGCAGTGGGCTTTCTTGTTGTTTTATAGATGGTTTCTTTTACAGTGCAAAGGTTTTTA